GTGTGCCTTGGCAGTCTCTGCTGACGTATGTGCTCAGTGAGTGGAGTTACAGAGACAAACATACTTTTTTTCTTATTTCTTAACATGATTGAGACTTATAGAACGTACACCCCTCAAGATTAACATAGTTCTACATGATTGATTCATGTTTCGATGAGAAACATGAATACATTATGTTTCATATTAAATGCATATTTGCAAATTGAACAACCCCACTTTCCCCTTTTTTTCAGTGTACTAGGCCTTTATTTACACAGGCTACTTGCCCAAGAAGGTAGCTGACGCTAATCAAATGCTTTTCTAATTCATGATATTTTCAAACACACAATTGACTTTTTAGATAAAACCTCCAATGTAAAGGTCAAGTATATTTAACATTTATATTGTGTTTTTTGTTTTAATAGAGGGGTTTGTGGGGGTGTGCTTACCTTTCACTACAATGGACCAAACTTTTTTTATATGCTTTATAGGAACTACAAAACCATATTATATACAATAAAATACATGTCATTAATAAGAAAATGCTATTTGTATCAAATATATCATTAGAGTCTTTTCACCTACACCTCAACCGCTTCATACCAGGTGTGTGTCTGTCAAACATGTTGGTTCATAGCCCAAATATTTCATAACCTAATGTTTCATAATGTTCTTCTAGGGACCAGTGCCAACAGCCTGCATTTTCAGATTGACCTGCTGGAAGGACTGCACAGGTGGAAGGAACCAGGACCGTGGTACTGCTGTTTAAACAATATTTTAAAATATATTTATATCATTTTATTCCATTTAGTAAATAATCCACTTTTCCTCTATCGTTTCAGCTGAAAGTGATAAGTGTCGTTTGGTTCATTTACCATTCAGTATTTTTTTTTTTTTTAATGTTTTGTTGATAATAAAATGTTCGTAATTTAGAATAAATGTTAAACCCAAATGTAATAATAAACGGTTTACAAAAAGGAGTAAAGGAGGTTGTTTCAAGAAAACCTAACCACAAAAAGGGGGCAAGCGCGCCCCCTGTTTTGGCGCAGGCGCCTACTGACCGGCCCCCGAGGTCAAAGGTCGGTCACGCCGTCGACCCGGTGTGTTGTCGACGGCTTAGAATGACGATTTGGATCTTACTCGCGCTGGGGACCTTTACCGGGGGAACGGAAAGGACCTGACCCCTAAGCCACCCTCAAGTGTCCTCAGACCTATTTTTACGGGAGAGGTGTTGCTGTCGTCAGTCCGGGCGTGACCTCGTCGCTCGGTGATGAAAGGGGGTCGTACGTCGCCCGACCACCGAGAGGTGTGGTGTCAGAAACTCCCAGGAAAGAGCGCACAAGGACTTCGCCCGGTAGTTTTCCCGGACAGGACCCACCGCACGACGTGTGTGCGGGCGACCGAAACAGGTGGAGGAAGGTTCGACGAGGGTGTCACGTTACTAAAGGGGAACGGACTGAACCCCAGCCATGAGTCGTCTCTCTCGCAGAACGGGCGTCGTAGGTGGTCCGATGAGTCGGTCAGACAGGTACACGACCTTGGGGGCTTCTAAAGACCTGTGAGCTGTCGGATAACGTCTACTACTTGTCAAATCTCCTTACCTTTGTAATCGGTTTGTGACGTGGTAGATATTATAACACTCTATATTAACTTTCATACACACGTAATTCATCAACTATTACGTTTTTAGATCTCAGTAGACTAGTATGTACCTATAAAAGATTTCACTGTGAATGGTAAAGAAAAGAAGAAGTCGAACGGGTACGAGTTGTGACGCGGAAGTCTCCCTTTTCTTTCTGTTTGTACCTCCCCCCCGTCCTACAGTCCTCCGGACACGTCTACCGCGAACCCAAGCGCACAAACAAGACGAGTCCGAGGCCACCAACACGAACCCTCGGGGGCCCACGCTTCCCCCGTCTACAACCGGCCTAACCAAGACTGACGCCCCGGTCCCCCCACCTCACGTCTCCCTCAGACCCCTACTCCGACCCTCCGGCCGTCCTGGCTCCGAGGTCGGTGACACACCCAGCAGAGACTACAGTCTCTTCCGGACAGCAGAAGAGTG